AAGCAGAAAGCAGCAAAGAACCCTCAGCTCCTGCTTTGTTTCCCTCCATGTCACATGCTGAGTCTCCCTGCCTCATCTAATGAAATACTCCTTCTAATTAAGCAAAAGATTACATTTTCCAAAAGCAAATGTCCTTGGCATACGGTGTAAGCCCTTCCAGCTGCTTTTTTGTCCAGCCCTAGAAAGCATCACATTCCATGCTGGAGTAGCTGAGCCCATCCCCTTTTTCAATACTGCCTTGGAGAAAAGAAGTTTTTTTTAGTAACTTTCTGGGCTTACAAAAAGGGCTGAGGTGGAGAGAACAGAAGGTGTTGTCCGTCCCTCACAGACAGATCACGAAACATCCAACACCAATTCTGTATTCGGGTTTTTCTCCATTTTTAGCCGCTGTTTTTGAGAAGGCTCTGCATCAGAGAGAAAACAACTGCTTTTTGACTGTTAACGGGCCTTTATTTTATACAAAGAGACCTGCAATGTCTCTGCGAGGTGATGTGTGCGTGGTGACGGGGGCCTGTGGATTCTTGGGAAAGAGGCTGGTGAGGCTGCTGCTGGAAGAAGAGAAAATGGCTGAGATTCGACTTCTGGACAAACAGATACAGCTGCAGTATTTGCAGAGTTTGGAGGGTAAACCGTTCTTTTCTACAAAACAACCCCTTTTCCAGATTAAAATTCATGAATTGATATGAAATGGGCAGGAGTAGATTTGTCTTATATATATTCCTTTACTGACATAATCGAAGAATATACCAATATAAAGATTTGAGAATTCAGCTTTTCTGACTTCCTCAATTAAAAGCTGTAATGTAAATGTGTTTTTAATGTCTCCAATACAGTAGATTGAAAACCAAATATTTGCTTTAGATTAAACTAAATAACTTGCGTCCTGCTGCTTTTTCTCGGTGACTGGTTTGTTTTGTGTCAGACTGCAAAGGTGAGACAAAGCTGCGAGCTTTCGAAGGGGACATGAGGGACGGTGATTTCCTGATCAAATGCTGCCGTGGGGCATCGATCGTTTTCCACATCGCATCCATCATTGACATCAAAGACTCAGTGGAGTACAGTGAGATTTTCGGAGTGAATGTCAAAGGTAAGGCTGTCACAAATCCACCGAAGGCTTACCTAATTCATGTGACTTCAGATACATTTATCAAATCACATACATAAAACAAAGAAGCAGAATTATTTACAGTTGAAAGTTTTTGTTTTTTGTACCACTGACATTTAAAACTGCTTTCATTACTTGTGTTAACTGGCCTTTGATCTGCTTTCACTATTGCGGCCCAGTGCTTACTTCTACTTCCTCCAGTTCACACTTACTTTACACTCCTTAAAGCACTTGCATGTCATATGAATATTCCTGCTGCTTTATTTTAGTTAAACCTACAACTGTCCAATGCATTTTAAAAACTGTTCACCAGCAAATCAAATGACAGTTTTCCTTCCTAGTACTGTGCAACAGTGTTGAGCCCTTCCTCATTTCTTTACAGCATATGAGGCAAAAACAGCCTGTGCAATTCTAACAAGCTTGAAAGTCATTGTTTTGTATGACCACCTTTATTCTTCAACACAGCCCAAACTCTTTTATTCAAGCGTCCTTGTTTTTTTTAAGTAGCCTTCATGATAAGTGTTCCAGGCCTCTTGAAGGACATTCAAAGCTCTTTCATACCATTTCAATAATGTTGAGGTCCAACTCTGGGAATGCCACAACTGATAATATCAAATTGTGTGTTTGTCTATATAGGTGTACTTTTACAGCATCAGCAGTGTGTTTCAGATCACTGTCGTTTTTGGTCGTTTATTTCTAGTAATAATTTGGCAAAGCTAACCTTCTCTCCCTGTTGCCTTGCCTTAAAAAAAAAAAATATATATATATTACCACATATATGTACATATATATGTATACAAACTTGTGTACCTAGTTCTTGTTTGTTTAAGTCTTTAAAGATTTTGCTGTACAATCATTCCTCTGTGGAAAAAAGAAGAGTTTGAATAAATAACTAAAACCTCAAAATTACCATAATATTCACGTCCATGATGAGTGGATGTAAACTCCTAACCATAACTGTAGGTGCCTTTTTTATAATTGAGTGATTCACAGGGTGTGAATAGTTGCAAACATGTTTTTATCTGTGCGTTAGCCTTGCGACAGACCTGTTTGGGGTGTACCATACCCACCCACCTGTGACCCTGATTTGAATAAGTGGAAGAAGATCACTAGGGGGAACACATTTTCCACTGAATATTTTATTCATCAAGATCCAGTGTGTGATTCAAGTGTTCTCTTATTTTTTAACATTTTGGTTTTTACCATGTTCAGCACCACAGCACAAGCACCAGGTTTCATTATATATAATGTATCTTAAAGCAGATACATAGCAAAACTGGCAACCTGACACGAGAATAACCTGAACAGACAAACAGCAGTTAAATAATGAAGGGAAAATGCATAATCAGAGATGACATAATATAATTGCAGATATTTGAAAAGTCTCTTTATTTACACTTTAAACTTGTGTTTCTACCAGCTACTGCAATTTCTTTTGATGTTTCCATTTGAACTTTATTCAGTTTGTCACTCAGCACATGTACTGAAGACCAGCTTCCTGTTACACAAAGGCTTTTTAAAACTTGTAAATATTTCTATTATGATTTGGCAGCAACTTTTCTAGTATAAAGGAATACATGGATGCATTAATTAATTTCCCAAATTAGAATTAATCTCTTTGTTTTTTTGTTTTTTTTATTCTCTTGTTGCTCTGATAACATAAAAGTTTTGTGCTGCTCTGAGATATGCAGTGTTTATTGTTAGTTATATTAACTCAGCAGCATCTTTGCCTCGTAGGAACCCAGCTGCTTTTGGAGGCATGTATTCGGGAGAACGTGCCGTCCTTCATATACACCAGCACCATTGAAGTGATGGGGCCAAACTCCAAGGGAGAACCCATAATCAATGGCAGTGAGGACACCGTCTATGACATCAGTTTGGACATCAACTACAGCAAGACCAAGAGTGAGGCTGAGGAGAAAACCCTGAAGGCCAACGGTGAGGTGCTCCAGAACGGAGGCCAGCTAGCCACCTGTGCACTCAGACCCGCGTATATCTATGGAGAGGGCTGCCGCTTCCTCCTAGGCCACATGGTCGATGGGATAAAAAACCGAAATGTTCTGCTTCGTATGTCGCTCCCCGAGGCCCTTGTGAAGCCTGTCTATGTGGGCAACGTGGCCGCCGCTCATCTCCAAGCATCCCGCAGCCTCAAAGATCCGCAGAAAAGAAATGCTGTTGGAGGGAAGTTTTACTTCGTTTCTGATGACACACCACCTGTGAGTTATTCAGACTTCAACCACGCCGTGATGTCTCCTCTGGGTTTCAGTATTCAAGAGAAACCCATGTTGCCACTCACCCTCTTCTACTTACTAACTTTCCTTATGGAGACAGTAGCCTGGATCCTACGGCCTTTCATACGCATCGTCCCGCCACTGAACCGTCAGCTCCTCATCATGTTGAACACGCCATTCAGTTTTTCCTATGAGAAAGCCAAGAGGGATCTAGGATATGTCCCCAAATATAGCTGGGAGGAAGCACGCAAACGCACCACTGAATGGCTCGCCTCCCAGTTGCCAGCAGAGAGAGAAAGAATCTTGTCTAAATAGATGAAAAATGACCAAAAGTCATTAGCACCCAAAATTAATACTTTTTTTTGTGAAACTGTTAAACATATAGACATAATTTGAAAGTAACCATGGAATTGTGAAGTCCTGTTTTTAAGGCTTAACTTTCTAAGATAAGATAATAAACGTCATTAACCCACATGGGAAGTTTGATAAAGAGTGCTACACATACCTGCATTCACAGAAAACAGGGTTAAGTGCTAACCTTTGAACTAAGTCTAGCAAGCATATTATGGAGAGTCTAGGGGGACTGACATACATGTAGAGCCAGCCTCAAGTGAGCATTAATGAAACTACAGCTTTAATCATTTCCACATTGGCTTCAAGCTTGAATACCTACAACATGCACACCAAACACCACTAGCTACAGTAACAATGTTTCTGTTGTGTTTTGTTTCCATTCTTGCCAATTGTGATTTTTTTACATGAATAACACAGATTTATAGTTTTCCTGTGACAGTAAGCAGAAGTGTATAGCATGTGAAAACAGAGCATGAGTGTTGACATTTCTTTCAAATGGCATGTTTGTGAAAGTTTTTCAAAGTACACCTTGATAACTTTGTCATATGTTTTTGTTCGACTGACAACACAGCCACTAAAGTCATACTGTCTTAGAGCAGGAGCTGTGAATCTGTACTGCTAGCCATTTATCCCAAAATGACACAGAGGATATGTGCTCAATTAAAAAACTACTGCATGACCTGCTGTTTCTGTCTTACGAATACTAATAAAGTGTTTGTGAGAAAAAAAATTCCCATTCTCATTGTATTTTTACTGATGTTTTTTAGTAAAGCTCATCTCAAACTTCAGTGACATTGCAAACTTTGCCATTTGATAAAAAATAAACTCGCCATACTTAAGTGGAGAGTCCACGTTGCACATACGGCTTTAAATCACATTAACACAAAGAAAATGCAAAGGATTACATTTGTGCGTGCATGAATGCATGTGTGTATCAGTGTTATTAGTGTGACATACAGTCAGACTGTGGAAACCTGCCTCTCTTTTTAACAACAAAAAGCAACTCCTCACGGTGTAAGTCATGCAGTTTGTGATGAACACTTGGATTAAGTATAGGTTAGGTTTCCAGGAAATGAATGTTGTCATAGAGACTGAATAGTGTGTGATGGACTCACATGAATTGCTTGATTATGTAAAAAAAAAAAGAATTAAGACTCAAAAATCAGTTGATTACTGATTTCCAGATTTCTCCGGTCACTGTCAGATGCCTCTCTCTCAAACGCACACAAACGCACACACAAACTAGTGGGCAGCCAGGCCAGAGTCCAGCCTTTTAAACAAACAGCCATTGAATACAAATGAGGTCATGGATTCACCACCAGGCAAAGACTTTCAACCACTTTTTCAGAGCAAACCCAGACTGGGAAAGGAATAAAAAAGAAAACTCGCCCCCTAATTGAATTCGGTGAACAAAAAGAAAATGACACCGAGAGGTTTGTTGTGGATACGTTCAGTTTAAAAGTGGAATGTTACAGTGAACCCGGGTCTTTATATTCTGGACTAATTTGGCCTGTTTTATATGGATTCCAGCATTGCTTCACCCCTGATGTTTGCCAGATAAACTCTGAGTTTCTGTTTCAGTGTTACAGCACTGCACAGAGCTGGGATTTAGTCAAGCCTAAAGCTGATCACCAATCTGGGAGCTAAAGAGAGCAGCTGAGCACCATTAAGAACTAACAAACTCCTGGCAGCTACTTTCAACATTCACTTCACTGACACCACAGAAATGCTTTGGGAGTGCAAAACCTTCCTCTTCTGTGTTTTGTCGGTCTACATCACATCACTGGTGGTGGGTAAGTATTGTGCCAATGAAGGAGATTTGCTCTGCTGCATGATTTTTCCATACAGTTATTCTAAATATGTATGCAAAGAGGGTTGAAAGACGGAACAGGGACTGTGTTATGTGAGTTTTTGTCGCAAGTCAGTGATTACGTAACACATAGCACCATATACAAACGAGGAACTTGTCCTCTACAGTAAAGTGGGATTCTTTTTCTGCTATCTGCCTTCCAAGTGTCTTTGTAAGAATCAAAGAAGAAAATGCTAATTTCACATTTTACTGGTAATACTTAATGTATTACCAGTAAAATGTCCTAAAGATGGCTGTCAAAAATGAAGCTATTGTCCTAGCAGAAAAAAGCCTGAAGTGACTAATATAGTACTATGGCTGACATTATTAGATTGTTAATCATCTGATCATTAAATATGCATAGACCTATAAAACTTGTCAAGAAGTCCCGATTAGGCACTGCTTCATAGTTGACTGAGAAATGTTGGTTAAATGTGTGTTGTAAATTACTGATGACGTTAGGGGTCAGATAAACGTAGTAGAGACAAATTTTAAATAATTACTTCCAAATATAGTAAAGCCAAAGTCTTAAAGCTGCACAGGACTGCCACACTAATTGTTATGTGATGTTTGAAGTAAAGGGGAAGACAATTGGTTATCCAGTTTTGAAAAGGTTAGGATGCTGTGCAGCATGTAAATAAAAACACAATCCAGTGATTTGTGAATCATATGAACCCACATTTCACAATAACATCAAAGGTTTCAACTGAGATAAATCTACTAATCAAAAATTGAAGTTCCTTTTTAAAAACATGGACTCTTCCTTCCATAAAGAGGAAAGGGACCATCCAACTTGTCATCAGTGTTTAGTTCAAAAACCGGCAAGTCTGATGGCATAGGGGTGCATTAATGTCTGTTGAACTGGCAGCTTACACGTCTGGAAAAGCGCCATTAATCCTTAAATGTGTCTATAGGTTTTAGAGCAGCACATACACTCATCCACGCTGTGCATATTTTAGCAAGCCAATGGTAAAACACATACTGCATCTATTACAACAGCATGGCTTTGTAGTAGAAGAGTGGTAATCACAATGCTGTCAAATACAAAACCCGCAAGTTTTATTTCGTGATACAGTGAGGCTAAAACAACAACTACATAGTATGTATTACGCCCTTCTACTTCTACTAGCTTCAGATGAAAGGCAGCAAGATAATCACTGTGCTGATCTCAACAACATCACATGGCGGGAATACCAGCAGCAAAGAGTCAGACTGAACGTCCAGTATCTGCTGCTGACCAGGAAAAACATGGACTGTCCACAAGCATTCAATGAGACGTCCCTCACCATGGAGAACTCCTACTTCAACCCCTCGCGTCCTACAAAGGTTATCATCCACGGGTACAGGTGAGATCCTTATTTAGTTTCAGAGTACGAGCCTCTGAATCTTTAAATGAAACAAATGTAATAGTTTTGGACCGATCAGTGCTATTGCTATTCTGTGCACCAGTTATGTTAGAGTAACAGCCGCAGTCAGTGTTGGGGAGTGACGGAATACATGTACCGCCGTTACGTATTTAAAATACAAAAAAAGAGTAACTGTATTCCGTTACAGTTACCGTTTAAAAAGGTGGTATTTAGAATACAGTTACTTTGTTGAAATAAATGGATTACACGGCGGTACTT